GTATATCAGCTGCCGTTGAAGTTTCAGAACACATTTTGATTCTTTAAAACGTGCTGATGACTTATGGGTTTATCAAGACCTTATGATGCCTTTCAACCACCAGGCAGGCACACAGTACAAGGTACTTTAAAACAATGCTTAAGATATTAGTTGACAGAGCTCTAATGCGGCACATCTCCTTTTTCTTTGATGGTATTTTGTTTTACGCTCGATTGATTCACGTGTTGTGTTCACGTCACAATAACCAATGTAAACAATCTGTTCCTAGATTTCCGCTCTATATACTATTTTCCTTTGACTTAATGACAGCTAAGATTCAGTGGAATACACTATAAATAGTCTGCCTGTTTGCTGTTCAACAAAATAATCAGAAGGTTTCTTTTGTTTTGCGTTCAAAAAAGATCTCCAAAAGATGCTGTTGTGGAAAACTGAGTCTTGCATATGTTATTTCTCGAGAATGAAGAAGATCCCAGCGAAAAAAACTTCAGAGCAATGTTCCTCAGGTAAAATGGAGCCCACATGCCAAAATTCAGCTATTTTTGAGCACTTTCAAAATGGCCAAAAAATCTAGGGGACGTTCTTGCATGCAGCCTTTCAATTGAATGCAAGTCGAATCGTGGTTCCAAACCAAACTTAATCAAATCAAGATTTTAGCTGGCCATGTAAAATGTTAAAAGTAAAATTTTAATGGCTGATTTGGGAGCTTTGGAGTTACACAGCAATAAATTACTAGTATGCAATTGATGTACATGTAATCTGTACATGCATATACACTTGTACATGTATATACGGACATAAAGGCTGTTTCAAGGGTTTGCAGATGTATATTTTTTAATCCAACAAGTCTACAAGTCTGTTCTCACTCCATTTATTTTGTGCATTTCAGAGAATACAAATCCACTTCAATGTTAAATATCTTTTGTAAGGTCTGCAAGTGATCTGTAATAAAGTTTTGGAAGAAGGCAGCACTTCAATCTCTAAAACATATGTAGTTTGTATGGGAAATTTTGCTCGTTCATTCTTTAAACATGAAGTAGCATGAAAAACTTATTAATATACTTTTGAGTAGGTACATGTTTCTTGTAAAGCAGGTTACATGTACTTTATTAAGTTATTATTATTATTAGGATACATGAATCTACATAAAATAATTGTATGCTGAACTTTTGAGTACAGATGACACCATAAAAATGAATGCATCCATGTCATCACTTTATTTTTTGTCATATAGTACAGAAGTGTTTAGATGAGTCACAAGTTGGACAAAAAAAATTTTCAAAGTAAACCTGAAAAATACCAAATGTATACTATAAGTGGTCTGAAATAAAACCATGATTATTCAACAGATATTGAGCAGATAACAAGAATTTTCATGTGCTTGAAAATTTGTTTTGATTTACTTGTAT